ATTACTGAAAAGGTTATGATGATTTGGAAGCTAGATAACACTGAACATTTCATTTTAACATAGATAGGATCAATCAGAGAATTTTGAACGCATATTTCCACTTCACGCTATCTCTACTGTGCTTCCTACTGTAGAACTGATAACATGGTTTGTTCTTCAGAATGCCGATTTGTGAGCAAGGTTTTTAAACGCTAGCACACGTAGATCCACAGCAGATAGAGGGAAGACCATGCTCATGCGAACCGGGCGCTATGGGTATATCTGTGCAAACACTGCTTGTAACATTTTTGTCAACATAGTTGGATCCATTCTTAAAACTTTCCAATTATCTTCAGATTTTTATAGTTTTATAAACGATCTAATATGAATTCTGTTATGTACATCTAAAATTCCCTCTGACGGAAGAAATACAGTCCAATAGGTGCGTTGAGTACCTAGAGGAACACATCCAGATCGGTAAGCACTCAGTGATGTGAGAACCTGTCAGCTATTAATAACCACCGTATATATAGCTGATTTTACACGATATATACCACTTCCACCTTATTATACCACACTAAACGAGAGTCTAGGGGTGTGCACTAAGGCCTAAAAAGATTAAACGTGATGTTACGTGTCAGACTGAGACGAGGTGATACCAGTGACGGTATTTTGATACTGGGGAAGAAGTGTTCTTCGGAACATGAAACGGTACAAATGCTCGCAGAAGATTCTTTCAAACTAATTGCGATCCGAATCGGGTATGTACGGGAAGAAAGATATGGGCCAATGTGATTTGACGGTCGTTGTTGCATGTGTGCTAACATCAATTTTTGACGAAGACAACTTCGAGAAGGTCCACATAGAAGCTCGCAGTCGTTGTCGCAACAATCTCATGATTAACTATTTCAACACCACAATTTGGTTGGGGAGATGTCTAGAGAAACGCACATTGGCATCGCCAACTGGAATGGAGCGGATATGATTAATGACCGACTATTCCGTTTACATGGCACAAACCGGTCATTTCTATCTTGTTAATTGGCGGTTTAGAGAGACGCTGCAAGCGCTCTTCCACTTTTCTGCATCATGAGTCAGTAATGTTATTCGAATATCATTAAGGAGTCCTTTCATCTTTTCTCACAGGACCCTGTGCATAAGTGGGTTGACGTCAACGGCTTGGGTGGCTTCACAATTGTTTATCAGCTTGAAATCTTCCGAAGATAGATATCTGGAACGTTTAGCCTTCAATTTGCAACGGTAGCCCTTTTCATAATTTGTCACGTGAAGAGTCATTCCTGCCGTGAAGAGTTTTCCTCGCACCATCCACGATGGTCTTCGAAGATTGTGTCCGTGGATCTGGCTGTTACTTAAAGATTTTTTCGTTTTCATGACTAATGTCGTAGAATGTGGTTGAGTTGAACCTAGTCGCAATTTTAGCGATAGTGGAGCTAAGTTGTTAGGATGTGGATTGAGGTAGTGTCGGGGAAGGAGTCGAACTAGCGCTTTTGCTTCTTGATAGGCAGCATCACTAACCACTGCGCTACCCTGTCCTCCTTTCCTTTCCTGGGATTAAATCCTAGCAAAGGTATAAGTTATAACTTCTCCCTTAGAACTATTCTTTTTCCATATGGAATAATTCGATTTTATCTTTACCGTGGTTTTCTGCTATACAGTCGACGAAAGCGCTGTGTCCCAGTGCACTCAGTTCGACTCACTGCGATTTGAAAGGTTCACATATCGCAAGGAATGACTGATAGACACTCGACTCGAATCACTGTACTTCTGGGGAAGAGGCGACGGGACCAAAACGTTAGCCACAATGAAGCTTTCCAGCCTCCTATGATCTTTTGAATAAAACAATATATCGACTAATCATTCTGAGCTTGAGTGAAAGTAGGCTTAAAAATATGGGACAGGCACTAGTTACTAACACCAGTCGTTGACATTTGACTCATATTTCTCAACGAAATCCATGTTCATGTGATATTGCTTAGGTTTATTTTCATTTCCTTTCCTTTTTTGTTTTCCTTCATTTTTCTCAACTTCCCTTATTCACTCACTTCTTTGGTGAGGTATATTCCGAGAAAGAGTTCTTTCATAATATTTACTATAAACAGGTCGGAGTAGGTAGTTCCTCCTTGTCTCCGCTGATCCGATAATGTCGCTCCTAGTGCTCCTAATACTTTGCAAAATCACGTTCTCAGTAGAATTTCGACTTTACTGTGCGCATGCTGCACAGCGCAGATCGTTTGTACAGCCCTAACTTATCTTAATACATTATTAAAGTTTGAAATCTTAATACTCACCATATTCTCTTCGTCGAAACACATTGGTCAGAGTCTCTTGCGAAAATATTTTTCCTATGACACTGGTAAGGTTTTCAGAAATATCGAGTTATTTCATGGGTACTGGTTCGCCGTCGCCCTGAACCACTGGCACGGAAGAGCCAAACAGCTAATCCCTCGAGCTAGCTGGCCATCTCAAGAAGAGCAGTAAAAGTAAAGATGAGCACATACGTCATCACTTGGTCTGTCCCATAACGGACGCTCCGAATGGAACACGGCCAATTTCTCACCACCTGCCGACCTCCTCATTTTTTCACAATAAAAATGTAGTTTTTCAACAAATAGAATGCCTTAGAGGTTACGAACATGGCAGAATTGTAGGGGTGACTTTGCTCTATCGTTCTATGGGTATAAATGATATATACTATAGTCAGCACGTGGAAGTATTTCACAACCTATGCTGAGTGTATTTGGGTGTTTTAACATCCGCACGTAAGGCCACGGAATGGATTCTAGCGCCCATGGCCCACCAAGCCTTCCATCCTACGAGGTCGGCAAATTGGTACCAGACTTGTCTGGGAGGACAACAGCACTGGCTCATTACATCGGTAGGCCACCGCGAGTCATTATAAAGGCTAGATATGCATTCAGTCGCCTCCAAGCGATACTTAATAAAGTCGAATGCATGGCGCATCTCTCGGGAATTGATCATGGCCGAGAGCTTTGTCCTTTTATCCTCCTACTGTGAAAACCATACCACGCACACTGCTGCAGCAATTGGAAAAGCTTTGCAGATTTTATTTTTACACCCTTTATCTGCATACGATATCTGCCCAATTCAAATGGTAACCCCGATGTATCATAGCAATTGGAGCAGACTTTTCACCGGTTATGTTACCGGGCAATAAACTTGTCCAAAAAAAGGTTTCTGTTAATTAAATAAAGAGATAAAACTCTCGGCGTTGATCAATCCCTGAGGGATTGCATTCGACTTCATTAAGCATCGTTAGAGGATATCTGAATGAATGCATATCTGGCTTTTACAATGACTCATGGTGGCTCATCGATGTGTCGAACTAGTGCTGCTATTCTCCCAAACAAGTCTAGTACCAATCTACCGATCCCGAAGAGATGTAAGGCTTGGTGTGAAAAATGGGTGCGGGGATCGGTTCAGCGTGTGTCGCAGTGGTGCCTCCAATCACTGCGCCATACCCGCCATTTCTGTTAATTAGTTGATAACAATTAGAGTTACCAAGTAATTGTTATCTTCCAACGGTGTACCGCCTCATCGTTGCTGGGAGGCATTCGTGGGTGTCGGGCTGCAATGTGCAGCGGGGACATTAATCCTCACGGCATGGTCTCCGAAACTGAGGAGTTCGGCGTTTTCATCACGAAAGCCAGCTAATAGTAAACCAACAGCAGGAGCCACAGCCGTCCTGGCTTCAAAATAGTCGCATAGTGGCAAATCTCCTCTGATCCACAAAAGGTGCGGTGAAAAAGCTCTGTGTAGCAAAACAAACCACTGCAAACAGACATATTGGATGCAATGCACTCCGCTCCCCTCTCTTACGCACGCATAGTACATAATACATCTTGGCGTTGTGTATTAACCTTGGAGCTTGTATATGAAGAGAAATTGAGCAGCGGTTCACACTGAGGTCATACAATATCCAATATTACCACCACTTAAAGAAAACATAGTTGATATCGATATAGTAACTATTCCTTAAATACTTCCTATTCGCTATAATATCACATCTTTCCTATACTAACCATTTGCTTATAACTGTCTTAAATCTATCCATTCATAATGTATAAGTCTTTAGACCGTTTCGACATGTACTTTCGGTAGAAGCCTTTGTACAAGCTATTCCTTCGCTATCTGATAAAGTTCTATGTTGGCGAAGCCTCTGGCATACCGTCTTATCTGATGTACTTCTCCACATGTACCGTGTAATGCCTTGAATCAACACTATCTCTGACTCCTGTAAAACCCCACCCATTACAGACCAAATATAAGGAGCACCAGCAGTCATAGAGACTAGTGTTTGTCTTCCAATCTACCAGTGCCTGGGTTCCAACCCCCAGTGCTTATCTTCCAGTCCCTCAATTCCTCAGTGCTCCAACTCCAGTGTCAGCTTAGCTTCATTCAAGTGTATCACTTGTTCTCATTTCAATCTCGTTCGTATCCACCCAGCTTGCATATCGTCAAATATCATACATTATTATTGTATCGTTGTTGTTGCTATAAACTGTTATAACCCAAACTCGAGGTTGTTCAAGGCAGTTACCAGAAAAGTCTCACGTGGCAAATTGATATAAAGTTGAGCATTCCACGTACAGTTGGAGGACAGAAGACAAATCCGATCAACTCCATAATCCACTGAACGACTAGCACAATCGATGTGTCATTCCTTAGCCAGACTCTAGAATACTATGCTAAAGTCAGGAAATCGTATAGTTTTATTCACGGTGAATGTATTTTCACTGACATACATGGTAACAAGAACGACAACAACAGTAGCAACAATAACCGGAAAAGTCTGTGATGTGACAACGTTTAGTAAGCCAGAAAACTGTTCGTAACTGGGGTGGCGACAACAGAACCTTTAACTGATTTTTATCTGGGTTACAAAAAAGGCTGAAAATTTACCCTCAAAAAAGTATTTTATTTCAAGAACACGTAATGATCGGTCTAAAAATGATGTTCTAAACAGCAAGCTAGCATAGAGGTTATTGTAACTGTTCATCTTCATTAGATCCATTCGTTTCCAAATAACAGGTCTCATAGTCTCTGAAAAACACCCGCTTCTCTGGAAGCTCGGTGACGAATTCATCCGGTTTCCTTTTGCCTGCCCCAAAAGCGATTATAGCTATGTAACCCTGAAAAAGCCTACAGCTCTCCAGGGTTCTATCAGAATACGGAAGACTAGGGCAGATATAGCTATTGTAAAAACAAGTGGATGGAAATTTGAAAGCAAAAATTACGAACGTCTAGACATTTTTGGTGTTTGAAACGGTTATACTTTACCATACCTGATTCTCCGGAGCAGTTCTAAGAAGATCTGGATTATCAATTAGGCGCTCGTTAACCTGAAAGTGAAGGCACCTCACTACTTAGATCAGAAAGTAACTAAAAGCACGAGACCTCAACCAGAACACCTCTAACTCCTGCTCGTACGATGACCTTCTCACCGTCTTTACAGTGAATCACACATATACGTGTTTCTTTCTGGAGATGAAGGCCACCCTAGATAATTGAGAAGATATCCTCAAAAAAAAGCAAACTAAATTTGGAAGACCAAAAGAACCATACCTTCTTCCCTTTGCCTACGACGACATGATCATTTCTGGATAGACCTGTTCTCTTCGTATTTCCAAAATCTACCGTAACTACTTCACTGGATAGATGCTGTAATTGCAGTTTGTTATTTTACTATAAAGGACTTGATAATACAAATAAGGAAGCCGATAGCTCACAGGTTCTTGAATTTTTCCCGTCTAAATTTTTACTAACGAAGAAAACTTCTCCACAACTGTGGAAACGACAACAATCTTCAGATCACAACGATGTTGAGGTATATGTAGACCTCCGGACCACAGGTGTCTGCGGTGGGAACGAACGCGCTATTACCCTTTCCGAGGGCTAAGGCGTTCTCCACCACATCATGCAGGTCCTTCGTTTCGCCTGTCTCCCAGCTAGTTTTCTATCTACCAGTGCTATCAGCAATCATCTTGGGATCATTCCAAGTACTCTAAGTGCCGATACTATTGACTTACACCAGAATCTTATTAATAGATCAAAAGAACTCAACTTTCGAAGTACAAGAACGCTAACGCCACTGGGATGATGAAGGTATGCGATGTTATCGTAATCCTCACAAGCAAATCGCTTGTACGTGCGGTCAACAGTTGATAAGTACGAAAACGACATTCAAACAAGCTAAAGAAGATTGATTGGTTGGTTGATTCCACATGTAATCGAAACAGAAGAAATCGTATGGTGGATATGGAATCACGCTCATCACAAAGTTCGAAGATTAAACAATAAATGTATTAATCCAGTACAACTACAATAAGCAAGAAGATGCTAAACGAGGAGGAAAAGGTGTACAACATTGTGTCATACTGGGAAATAATAGGGAGACAAACTTTCGAGATACGTCTTTCAATCAACAAAAATTCAAAGCAAAACCATATCGATAATGTAGGTAAAAACTTCTGAGCAACTAAAGTACATGGAGTAAATGTCCTTTCCGAGCATACGATAAGAAATCAAAGATTCTTGAGTAAATGACTGTTCCTACAACTAGAAAAACTAACGCCTCACATCAATGTACAAGCATTTGCAGCAGCTGAAACATCATTGATCTTTGGCAGGCCAGTACTGTCATCGACTGCCCAACCTACAAAGAAAAGCATATTACGGCATTTCCTAAAACGTCTTCAGTTCTTCTTAGATACAAATTGAATCATACCAGCAGGAAGCTCTCCTGTTAACTCCTTTGGAGGATAACCATAAGATTGTAATTCAACAAGCAATTTTCCAAGAACTTCAAAGTTGGACACCTGCGAAGGATTGCTGGCCATATCACCCTGAATGCATGAGTCGACGGAAACCTTTCAAAACCATACGTTAAACGGGAAGGACTTTTACCTTGTCTTCCACGGAGCCATTAGAACATCGCGCAAAATCTTGCGAATCATCATCATCTGGTTGATTTTCGAATTCACGACAAATTTTTCCAAGAATCTGAAGCAACTCGACAATATACAGTACATCTTCTCAAAAAATGTCCTAATATAGGCGTAAAACACGTGTTTTTCGACTTAAATAATGTATGTCTCAAAACCAACACGAATTTTCAATCATAATCCAGTTCTATGTTCCTTCCTTTTTGTTTTTGAATAGAAATGTAGGTTCAACACATTTTATACAAGTTGAGGTATGGACTGATGCAAACCTGAACACTTTGTAAGCGTAGTGGGTCTTGCTTATACTTCAGCTACCTCAGACTTACCAAGTCAAAGTATGATCTCAAGGAAAAAATATCAAGAGAATTTCATTTCTCAAAGCGATATGAGCAACTGGCCAGAAAATCCGCCCTTCTGCGAAGCTCAAATCCTCGTACAGCCTCCCCGGGACATCTATGGATAAACACCCCGCTCCTCGGGCCTAGTTCCAGCAACGAGGGGAACCCACAGCATCCGACGCCACACCCAAGACTGAGGCGAAACGAAAACCTATTTGCAATCTGTTGCTATATTTCGAGTTTGCCGAATACACAAACATATGGAAGTTTGTAAAAATTTCTAAAACAGATACTGACAACTATATACGCTAACAAAAATTGAAGATTACGAAGTTGAACACTGTTTATGCTTAGTTTTATGAAGAGGTCTATATGCCTTAAGAAAGATAAACATAAACACTGAATCGTTTTTCGAAGGTGAAACAAACCTCATACTGCTTTTCATATCGCTGTCTGGTTTCACAATCAAGAGATGCGCCATGTTCAGCAAAAAATCTTGGATAGTTGTCATGGATTTCTTTCAGAGGAGGATACATAACTGCCTTAGACGCCAAAGTCTAGAACATACCACATTTGAAACAGGCTTAACATTTATCCCTATAGAGAATAAGTGAAACAGCAAAACATTAGAGAAATTGTTTACACCGACTTCTCTTCATAATCAACAAAATCAGAACGAATAACCTGCTTTATGGAAAGTGTTCAGCCGCAATAAAGATTTTTAACAACTATGTGTAAGTTTATCAATGAAAATATTGATTATAAACGCCGAGGCTCAGTGAGAATCTTCACTGACACTACTTCTCCATAATCTTTAAGATACTAGAGGCTCCTCAAGCCTTACCACTAAGTTAGCAGCAAATACCTATCTCACTTCTTCCATACACATACTTTTACATTTCACATTCTTGTTGAGCAAAGACGAGGTGTTATTTTATTTCTTCATCTACGAACAATCTGACATTCTGCCGGATTTGGCCTTCCTTAGAGCAGCATTCTATGAGTCTTCTACTCACATGGAGACCAACCAACATGTCACGTAACGTTATGCACCCATTTGAACTCTGTGCGGTTGGTTTCCACCTGACAAATTCAGTGGAAAACTCGAAGAAAGCGGCTCTGAGTAAGGCGGAATCCGCCGAAACGTCAGGTTGTTCATAAATAGAGAAATAGAATAACACCTCGTACTTGCTCAAAGAGAATGTAAAGAATTGTTCAATCAATGCCAAAATTCATAGAAAGTCTGTTAAGGGACTTACATACTTTTGTATTCCATATCTTAAATGAGTCTCGCAGATGTTGTAAGCAAATTGAAATCTTATGTAGGATATGCTCCAAACGCTACGTATATTGCTGGAGAAAGGAAGCTATTTTTAGGGTAGATAAGGACTATCGTAGAATTTCGCACGCACTTTTCGAAGGAATTTCCGAACTAGGAAATCCACGTAACAATAAAGTCGATTTCTACGAGTACTTCCGCCATAAAATGAACAACTCTTGGAGAACACCTAGGACAACAGAATATGTAGCAAATTTGACATGTAAAATTTCAACCGAAGGACCACGAAAACCTTAGAAAATTATCGAAAACAACTGAGTGCATCTTAGAAGTGTGCTAGCGAAACAAGCATTCCTTTTACCGCTGTTTCAAAGCGCTTTTGTATTAAAATCTCGACGAGTTCCCACTCTCACCGTGCAACTGAGGAGTCCTACTTCGTCTCTAACAAGAGCTACGTCAGTTTGTAAGACTGATGTCATATTAGAAGGATATGGAGTATTGGAAGACTAACCTACTAACGTAGCTGAAACGTAACGATTACCTGGAGGATAATGGACATAACAGGTTCCATTGGAGAGTCCGGTGATTTGAGCATATCGAGTCCAGCAATGAAATCATCATGAGAAGTGGCATTAGCAATCCAGAAAAGAAAAAGTTGAGGGTTTGACGCAGCGTATGCAGCGAAGGAAAATGGAAGAGATACTAAATCAATATACCTTTCCACTACTTTCCATGAGGGCTTTCATAGCCTCGATCATATCCGCTGCTTCTTTACCGCATTCGGGTAGACGTTGGTCGGACTCTTCCGCCTTACGCAGAGCTTCCTAATTCAATAAAACTTCATGGAGGACGGGAAATAAAGCTATGGCTTGCAACAATGGTACATTTACTTCAATGTGAGTGAACTGTCTGTACCTCTTGAACTTTCACCATCTGTTGGAGCATAGCTTGGAAGTCTCCAGCAGCTTTTTGAGCTGCAGCTTGGTCCTGCTCAGCCATGATTTCATCGAGCTCATCATCAGTAGTTCGTGGCCGCCTAAATGCACTTTAACGACTGATTTTCAGAAGAAACCTTTTGGAAGAACCACTACCCCCAAACAAATAGACGGGAACATAAACAAACATACTCTGTAAATCCTTTCAAGGCATCGTCGAGAAGTTCACTCAGACTTTCAACATCTTGAGAATCCTTCATGGGAGGGTCAGTGGCCTTGTTAGCCATCTTGAAAACAAAACGGTTGTGAAAATAAATGTAGGAATTGAGGACAAGGAATGCAATGAATACATGGGAGCAATTTGCCACTATTGAGTCATCTGCTTCATATTCCTTTTTCTCACTAAGGCGAAGGAAAGTGAAAGGAATTCATGAAAAAAAAGTCTTAAGAACCAAAGTGCACAAAGGATCATACCACATTTCCAATATTTCAGGATACCGAACTTGAACTACTGCGATGAACACATCGCATGGTTAAAAAGTTCCGAAAAAAGGTTTTTATGGTGGGTTAAGCTACGCTGAAGACTAATACAACACTGAGTTTGAAATTTACACCTATAATTTGACAACTAATACTATTTAGAGGTCGACCTATTCAGTAGCTGGTTCGACCCGCCCCTTGTCCACCCATCGCACCGAGTTCTGGACCCTGGTACCAGACTTCTCTGGGAGTGTCTGCACCCTCTAATCCACTTGGGAAAGCTCTAGCACGACAGTCTCCGGGTTTCTGGGAAGAATCCCAGCATTCAACGACGTTTGTGATGAAGACGTAAGTCCTCAAGCAGCAACCGAAAACTGTGAAGACCTTCATGGATGGTCAATTCCAGGAAATGAATCAAGTACAAAGGGCTACTGGGTTATGGACACTGTGATACATGCGGTGTCGGGTCATGTAATAAGTGGAAAATGATTTGGGAGTCAAACCAATGATAACTAGAGATATGGCGGAATTTCAGTTATACAACGTAGTGTCTTTGCACGCAAAGAATGAAAGTGAATTATTCAGCTGGACGAGTAGCCCCACAAGAAAGGAATAAATCCAACCCTCCCAATGACATCGTCGTTGCCCTTCTGACCACGTATCTTCTCTGATGTCTTCATCATTGCTCACGCATTCCACAAATTCAAAGTTTCTGAAGCAGAATGGAGCTTCCATTAAGGTTACTGGACGGATTCATTGATGAATTTCAAAACAGAAGTCGTCGTTGCTTTGTCGGAAATTCCTACAAGTATTTCCATAAGGCAAGATCCACACTACGAATATGGCAGAATCCTCGACAGGTTCTTAGCGCTAATCCTTCCTTGTTTCAGTGAAAAAGCGTCACTTAATTCGACTTTATCTTGTCCCGCTTGTACCTTCAACTTTAACCTACAGGTGTAGTAAGTCGAACGTTGAATTTTGACAGATTTATGGCTTAGGTGAATGGAAAAAAATCAATAACGGGAAGAAGTCAAAAAGCAGAAGTAGAAGCAGTATGGGAGAGTACAGGCACCTACAACGATCAATACTCCAACCCCCGTTCGGTGACAGGTGTAGGGACTGATGTGTGAGGCACTGGGGTACTCCGAGCGGGGTTATCAGCAACGAGAGCGCCCCGATCGCCGATCATGTGACATTCACCGACTACACACCGAACCACTGCAGAGATCACTGGGAACGGCGCTCCAGCCGGCTAGAAACCATCTCGGATCTTCATCGTCTTAACTCTCGTATGGTCCAACAACGCTGTGCAAATATTTAGCTAACAACGTATGCTCTGTAGGAGAAATTTCTTGGGGGACCCAGTGACTGCTATGACTTTAATCGGTTTCATGATGAGCCTCGGAAAAAATTAGGCGTCGTCATGCAAGCACTACGTGTCCTTCCAGAGCCGAATCGATTTCTTATCAGAGGAGGAGAACAAGTGCTGACGAGTGGTTTGTCGAACACTTCCTGAAGTGGACAGAGAGTTTCCCTCTTAGTAATAACTGCTGATTGCCACGTTCCGTTACTCGGTAGAAATTCCTTTTCAGGTTTTGGAGTAGCGACATCGTTTGGATTACATTCTTACGCAGTATGCATACTAATGAAGCTTTTCCTAACAAAAAGAAAATGAAAGTAGATCAAAATGGAAACAATAACACAATTGAGAGATGGCCAGATCAATGAATAATGTAGATAGGCCTATGAAATATTTCAACGCGTCGTTCCCGGACGTGGTCATGGACACGAGTTCCATCGACGGAAACTGAAAGACGGTGATATTTCTCATGAACCTTACCGTTTACGACAGAGGTCTAGTTAAGATCAAGGGACTTGTGCCTAGCCCACCGTTGGTCTACTGCCCTGAGCTGGGTGGAAGTTGTTCCGTCGTTCACATTAACGAGCACCATGATGGGCTTGCAGGAGCGGTGTGAAACTCGTCCGTGATTCGGTCACGGGATTTCTGGCTTTTCTCGGCAATAGGCTAGAGGTTCTCGATAGTCGGAGGACTTCAGGGTTGAGAACATCAGAAACTCAAAGAAGAGACCTTGCTTTATTCATCTATAGGTATCCATGCCACTATTTGCTATAGTTCACTATATTTCACCTGCCAAGAACATTGCTGTCAGCATTTGGAAAGATTTTACAGGTCCATTTTCCGTGTAACTTGGTATTTCCTATATTCGCTCACTCAGTACTATAAGCAAGACCCATTAGCATAATTGAAGATGAAGAAACAGTGAACTACTGGTCAGTCTTCTCCTGCATGAGGTGCGATACTGGTTTCGTAATAATTCCTAGGAATTTTTGGTAAATAGAAGACATATAATGATAATGGCTTGATATTCTTATAGAAGAAAGTTTGCTCCATCGCCCTCTAGAAGCAACAAGTTTTTTAAGTGCAATTATTAAAAAGCTAAAAGCTGTCGGCATTGGTCAACCTCCGCCATGCATCCTACTTCATCAAGCATCGTTTGGAGATGATTGGATGCATATCTGGCCCTTACAATAACTAGCGGTGACCTGCCGATGTATCGAGCCAGTACTGCTATCCTTCCAGACAAGTCTGGTACCAATTTGCCGACCCCGAAGAGATGGAAGGCTTAGTGGGCCATGGGAGCGGGGAGCGGGGATCGATTCCACGTGTGCTGCAGTGCTCCTCCGACCACTGCGCCACAGTGTAATTATTAGTTCAAGTTTATTTAAAATTTAAACTCTCAAAAGTTTTAAGGAACGTAATCGTGGTAGAATAAGAAGACTCGTATCTCGCTGGCGAAGATATCGGAACGGTACCAGAATATACAAAACTAAGAGTTTTTATGTACTGACGAATCCCCCCTAGTACTACTAAGAGGTAGGGCTGACCTCTGCCAGCATTCCTCACATAGCAAGCACAATGACGGTCTCAAATTATTCAAACCTGCTCGAGAGGTGGCTACATTTAAACAATTTTGGTATGTGCTGTTAGTGATGCCTGGATAGTTAAGACACACGCCTTCAGTTGGCTGAGGACTTACCAGAGGAGAACCGTTCTTATCTCCGGCTGCAGAAAACCACGAAGGAACTTCCCCAGCAAGACGTCCATCGGAAGCTATGCTATCTAGTTCGTCACTAGCAATACTATCCACAATTATGTACTTTGTCGAGAAGCTTTTTAGTCGCTAATAGTCGCTGGTGTCCTGTCGCCGTCCAATTCAGCGTCTTTCATGTATTCTTCAGAATTACGAAAGGAAAGTAGCAGAGTCTCATTCCATTTTTCGGTCAACGTGTGAATTGTTGTTTTCCAGTCCGTGCTTTATTCCGCTACTATTTTTTCACTCTCTTAACTTGTCTTTCGTTTCTTTTTCACACAGGTGGCTTTCCATTCACTGTCTGAACGAGGCTGAGAACTTGTTTTCTTCTTGGAGGATCGAATTATCGGGCCTCTGTGCCCGAATAGCCGTCGCATCGTACCGGTCTTTGAATCCCACCAGACTAGCACAATCCTCTAAAAAGCTAGCTTCTAATTATGTGAGGACAACTTCCAGTTACTGACCACATTTTAGGTTTTGGAAAAGAAAACTATGGAGGCAAAGTGATGGACGAGAAGTCTTATTGGTGAGAGGAACACAATAGAGCTTTACATGCTTTCTCATTCGAAGTTTAGTCTCATTTTTAACGAAAATTAAAATCGTGGTGCTGAGAAGCTGAACCAAACGGTTTACCTGACTCTCCTGACGACGATTTGACGAACCGTGAAATCCGAATTACAAGAAAAACAATTATTCGGTAGATACATCGAAAGAGATTCAACATTTCAGCATGGGTATATACAGGTAAACTTGTGCTTTAACATACAGGAGCAGGGATAAAGCTCTCGGCGTTGATCGATCCCTGAGGGATGCGCTATGCATTTAACCTCATTAAGCAGCGTTAGAGGTGATTGAATGCAAATCTGGCCTTTACAATGACTCGCGGTGGCCTACCGATGTATCGAGGCAGTGCTGCTATCATCCCAGACAGGTTTGGTACCAATTTGCCGACACTAGAGGGATGAAAGGCTTGGTGGACCATGGGCGCGGGTATCGATCCCATGTGTGTGTGTCGCAGGGCGCCTCCGACCACTGCGCTGCACTCGACTTTGTGCCTTAACGGGAACACGGAAACCTACCACTCTATTACATTTCGAACATTCGCGACGAGGCCAGTTCTTCCAGAACGGTCGCTAGTTTTCCGATCACTGTAATATTAGAAGATTTAACAAACACAAAATAGACTTACATCAGTCGATACCATAGCTTTTCCAGAAAGTTACAACCCTTTAAATTATAACCTAAAGATTGTTAACACAACATCAAGTAACCACAATGTCTTGACATTTATGTGCTGCCTATAATTTTTTCATGACAGGGTACTATGTGAAATGCAAGTACGAAGTGCTGAGACATAAACAAAACTCGGAACCTCACTTGGGCTTCGAACCCGTAACTATCCTTACCGAGACTCCCGTGTTATCCACAAGACTTTATAAATTCTCACGTAAATGTTGTTGCAATCGGAATCGAATCTCGGCGAGAAAAAGCAATCCATGGGATTTAGAAAAATAGAAATTCTTCGTTGCAAAATAAGTTAATTTGAAACGTGCTAGTAAAGGTGAGCAGATCCTGATTTCCACTTCATTTAATAAACTTCGTCATTGGAAAGTCGCTGTTTGAAGATTGGAAGATCAAATATTTTCAAACGCGTATGCATTGAAACCAATTCTTCGTCATCGGTGTTATCAAAGGAAGACACTGGGGTTTGAAAACGCAAAACTTGCATTATTTTTCGCGACCAAAAGGTAGTATCTCGTCATCAAGGCGAAAGTATGATAGGAATTTCTTTATCGATGCGCCCGAACTAACCATGACAACCGTGTAAATTCACTATCGGATGAAAGGCGGTGACAAAGAGCAGTGACATGTTAGTGTTGTCCTGTTGTTTCTCTCTTTTTAATACTATAGTAATGTGATAGTTAAAATTCTGTAATATGTGACGCAGTTACAATAGTAAGCGGTGTGGAAAAGTCCACTACTTATCTAATGAGTGCTAAGAAAACTACATCCATTCCGACGCTGTCGAACGGTTTTTCATTCGACCCAAGCGAAGATGAAGGACAAATGATGCTTATTACAGACTTCCACGCGTCTGGTTATGACTTGAACTCCATGCATGCAGCAGCATCTTCGTCATTTCCTTCATTGTTTCACTGACAATATTCAGCAAAGGTTCATCCCACGACAAGGTCACCCACATTCAAACGGAATTCGATTTCTATCTGGAAGTCCACTTATGAATAAACTAACCCCATAAGTTTCGGAATTCAGGAAAAATAGCCGTGGAAAGTAAAAGTTCTATCCAACGCAAAAGAAGTTCGCAGAAAAATATCCCTTGCAAAGTATTGTCTAATAACTTAATTGATAATGTTTACTTTTTATTTTCTCCCTTCTATTATTTTTATGACAAGGTATTAAGCGAAATACAACTACAACATTGCTGTGATATTTGCAAAACTCCGGACCGCAGGTGTTTGCGGTGGGGGACGAACGCGCTATTGTCCTTTCCGGGGAATAACGCGTTCACCACCACACCATCCGGGTCTTTCGTTTCGCCTAACTCTCAGCTAGTTCTATTGTTCTGTGCCGTCAGCAATCACCTAGAACTAGCTGAGAGACAGGCGAAACGAAGGACCCGCATGGTGTGGTGGTGAACGCGTTACTTCCCGGAAAGGACAATAGCACGTTCGTCCCCCACCGCAAACACCTGCGGTTCGGAGTTCTGCAAATATCTCAGCAATCTTGTAGTTGTACTTACTTGATACTTGAATGGCCCGTCCTCACTGGCTGTGTGGACCCCAGCATAATCTCTATTTCTCGGAGATTTGCTGGTTAATCCACTGTGGTTCCCTGGAATCTCGTGGTCAGCCTGATCAAAGTCTGCCCCAGGTCTTCACCACCACAGGCACTTGCAGCCCTTGTGGATCGGAAGGAGATTTGCCATTATGCGACTTCAATACCAGGTTGGTGGTGGATCCTGGTATTGGTTTAGTTTTAGCAAGGCTTCCTTATGGATATGCCGGACTCCTCAGCTTGGGAAGCCCTGACAGGGGATGAATCCCCACTGTACATCGCAGCCCGACACCCACCAACACCTCCCAGCCACGATGAGGTGGTAAACCGTTGGGAGGTGTCTAATTACTACACTCTCTAAACACATGAGATTTCCATAAAACTTTATTCGGCCGACGTTTCGGTACCTTCGTCTTCTTCAGAGCCGGGATCATTCGAGCCGCTTGTTCACAGCCCTCACAGCTATTGCGATGTGGTTCCCACGTAGTTGCATCGAGTGGAATGCTGTTTTGTTGGGCATCGGTTTCCTCACTCGGAAGTGCCCTTTTATACGGGCCAATTCCTGAATAATTGTCCGCGGCTGATAATGTTTTCATGAACATAGCCTATTCTTTAGTAATCGGTATTAGACTACCTGACACAGCGAGAATCTCGATGTGATGTGGTGATCGGTTCTGTTTCAACTGATTTCGTAATTAGACTCGAGTAGAAGCGATTAGGAAAACCCACATCGTATAGACGAACGGCTCTGGACAATCGGCTTGAATCGTTCCGGTTCTGAAGAAGGCGAAGAATGTTTTAAGACAACCTCATGTTAGCTTATCAATGAAACAAGGCATTGATTATGACGTCATTCATCGAGGTTGAATGAAATTTGATTTGCAAAAGTAAACACATGAGGATTCAAAAAGTTCCTGCTTATTTCTAGGAATGCTCGCCTTTGTTAAGTGATAACAGCTTTCCAACGAACTTATCGTTACAAATGGTTACTCACAGAACAAACAGCACGCTCCGATTGCGACCAAACTCCTACTCTAAGAGTCATGGAAGTGTCTCCTTGCATTCTGAACTCGATGAGCAATTTTGCGCGGTGATTGATGAAACTTTATACGTTTGCAATTTCAGATCGTGTTTGAACCTGATATAAACTACTGCAGAGTATTCCTCACATGGTGTAAATGTGCTCAAAACTCCCTCCATCCCCATCAGGCAGGAAAGATAAAGCACCTTCCATAGAAACAAATGATAACGAAAGCTTCTTTGTTAAGTTGAAGCAACAGATTAGGAACAAATGGACAGCTTTCATCGCATTTTCAAGAAACTCCCCATTACAGATTGACAAACTTATTCAACTGTTAGAGCAAGCCTCTCTCATAGAACGTTTCTTTAATTGAAAAAAATTCTATCTTTATATTACCCGTCTTCACGTCTACTGTGCGGATCCCAGCACTTCTCACATTCGATCCGTCACTCGTATCCATTGTACACGAAGACCCTCCAACTTTTACGTGTGGCATCGGGTGTTGCTTGAGGACTCTCATTTCATCTTGAATATCGTAGAATGCTGGTCAAATCGATTCTCCTTGGAGTCCTGAGAGTCCTTGGAGTCTCCTTGGAGTTTGTATGTATGATGAGCTACCCAAAAATTTACCAAGCGTATTTAATTCCTTTGGATATTAAACACTTCATTAGCTCGATCTCTACTGAGAGCACTCAGGTAGGAACAAGCGGGCATTAGTGAGAACCTAACGAAACATAGATAATAGAAGCCTTCACGTTAGTGTTGAAAACCACGTCTCATGGACCTCAAGACAACAGGAATTCATCGTGGTCGTACAAGAGAACCTCTACCATGTAGGTAAAACCCTACACTTTCTCGTTGTTTCCATTTCAATTGATACAACTGAGTACGAGCTACCTTGGCCTAACGTTGGAATTGCCCATTATAATCATCAGAAAGAGCACCCCTATTACTTGTTGGCTCATAGGACAGAACGACCACTATGCATGATGATCGAGGCGCTTTGCTCCTTGTTTTGGTTGAGAAAAACTGATGGCGTAACTTGTCCAATGGCGCTTATTTACTGAAGACGACCTCGAACCGGGTCCTCCGCATTCCCAATCCACGCGATTGCAGCCGATCGATCGTTGGCCGTACATAATTTGCATGCACGCAAACAGTCTCTCTCCCTTACAAACACATACACACATAGGCAAATATTACTACGAAACGTACACGACAACTGACTTCAGCGAAGAAAGTGTAGCCACTTCTTAAGGCCATCCTTCATTCAGATACCGGTTAAGTAGCCTCATGAAAAGTAGATCCGCACAAAACATAGTACACGAAAAATTCCCACTTTTATTAATAGATCTTCGCGATGAGAGGGGAACAACTTGTAGCCATAAATAACACATCGGAAACATTTACGATCAATTAGACTAAAAATGAAAAAAGTCACAAATTGAATCGAGCGAAGAACAGCTGAGCCTGATAGCGGCTCTAAGGATATCAACGCGAAAACCACGAAAATGAGCTGCGTTCGCACTGTTCAGAAGTATGAGGAACGACTGGATTAGGAAACACAGACACGAAAACGTTTAGAAGCACTTGCGGTGAACAATCGATGGTCCGGACTCATCGTATTCTTGTTTTGAGATCCACATTTGTTGGAACGTTGACAATGAGGCCAAGATGGAGCCGCCAATCCATACAGAATACTTGCGCTCAGGCGGAGCAATGATTTTGATCTTCATGGTGCTAAAAATGATAAATTTTCAGCAGTAAACCTCGAAATATTAGCTTGCAGCAATGAAAACAATGTCCGGTGTACTAGTGAATAAAACAACTTCGAAGTGGGATATTAGAAACCTGGGCGCAAGACTTGTAATTTCCTTCTGCATTCGATCTGCAATTCCAGGGAACATTGACGTTCCACCAGACAGCACGGTGTTTGCATACAAGTCCTTAAAGAACAATATCCACACAACGCTATATGTACTACACATGCTGAAATCACATCCAGGGTCCAAAGTCCATCAAAAGGTACCTTTCGGATATCCACGTCACATTTCATAATGGAATTGTAGGTGGTTTCATGAATCCCGCATGACTCCATGCCCAAGAACGAAGGTTGGAATAAGGCTTCAGGGCATCGGAATCGTTCGTTACCGATAGTAATAACCTACAAATAAATGTACTAGGTTAACATTCCACGACATTTATCGAAGAGCTTAAATGAGGTCTAGTCATCTAATCAATTAAGATGCACCAAAAAAGACCTACCTGACCATCAGGAAGCTCATAGCTCTTCTCAAGCGATGAAGATGACGCAGCAGTTGCCATCTCCTGTTCGAAGTCAAGTGCCACATAACATAGTTTTTCCTGCAAATTATTCAACATATCTCTACATTTTGTCCTCCACAGTCAATAGTAGTAATTTCTTTTAAACCATACCTTAATATCCCTAACAATTTCCCTTTCGGCCGTAGTTGTAAAAGAATATCCCCTTTCAGTAAGAATTTTCATCATGTAGTCGGTCAAATCACGTCCAGCCAAATCCAAACGCAAAATGGCGTGGGGTAATGCATATCCCTGAAATCACAACCGTAAGGCGATTATGCATTTATAAGTCATTGAACGAAAATGAAATTTACTGAGATTAAAACAAACATCGAGTCTTTCATGGATACCAGCTCACCTCATAGATAGGTACAGTGTGAGTGACACCATCACCGGTATCGAGAACAATACCAGTCGTGCGTCCCGAGGCGTACAATGACAGCACTGCTTGAATGGCCACGTACATCGCTGGAGTGTTGAAAGTCTCGAACATAATCTACAAAATTTCAACAGTGTCTTCCAGTGCTCGTTCACCAGACAAATTGATTAATGGTAAAGCGCTCAGCATTGAGCAATTCCTCTTATGCGCCATGCATTTGACTTTACTGATCATCGCGGCTCACATAATGACTGTCTGCAGAATGTGGGTGTATGGAGTCAGTGTTTTCTACACTCCTTAGTCTTCCGAACAAACCTGGTACGAATTTACGCACTCCGGTGGAATGGACGAGTTCGGATCTACAAAGGGTAGGATAGGACCGATAACAAGTTCATGTTGCAGGGCATTTCTAATGTGTGCTACACGTCCATATATAGTCACATACGGAATAAGTACATAATACATACTAGTAATTTTTCCCAGGATGTAACAGATGCCTAAGAATGGAATCCACAATTGGCCTGGGTGTTTCCTTACCACTTTCTTCATTCATTTCTTTCTTCATCATTCAATAAACACGGAAATATTCAGGACTTAGACCACCTATCGCAGTTTCGCTGCACCTTGCTGTCCCACAGAGATATAACTAGATCGATTTTTTCATATTTTCTGCATAGCGCAGGGCCACTGCAGGATTATAACATTCTAGGAAACTTCGCACCCATTCCTAAGCTCCTTATAGGCAAATGCTGCCCATGTGTCAATAAATCGAAATCTTGTTTACAGGTGCATGTCAAACATCAATGTAGCCATACAGTTTCAGCACCACTAACATCCCTAGGTTTTGCAATCCAGATGAGTAATAGGAAACTTACACAACTTTTGAGGTTATACGTAGCCTGTATATATGAGTAAAAAGCCTAATTACATGTTTTTCAATTGATGACAGACCAATCGTTCTAAGATTCAGAGGATATCAAATACTGAAATAAATTCAAAAATAGCAGGAAATCTATTGAGGGTTTACCATGTCTACTCAGAAGCACAAATTTAGTACCACATATAGCACTTACTACAGAATTCACAATATTGTTCCGTGTTGTTAGTGAAACATAGACACGTGTTTCATTATAGCTCTCACAGATTTACCAAATATTCTTGCCGGAGTTTGGCACTAGTCTTCTGAAGCAACATTAGTATTGCTTGAGTACTAAGCCGCTTAGATGAAGGTCCTCACTTCTCTATTTCCAAATTTTTAGGTCGCTGTTGATCAGTACCTGATCGCTCATTTTGCATACCTGCGTCATTTTCTCTCGGTTGGCCTTTGGATTGAGAGGCGCTTCCGTAAGAAGGACTGGGTGCTCCTCTGGGGCAACACGCAGCTCATTGTAGAATGTATGGTGCCAAATCTTTTCCATATCATCCCAGTTGGTAACGATACCATGTTCAATAGGGTATTTCAGCGTTAGAATACCTATAATACAGAAGCTGACTGTGGGACAAGTACTCGGAAATGAGTACAGTACAGACACAAAATCGTGTTGAACGAACGACGGTAACATCAGTAAAATTGACATCTGCTCAAATTCCTCCTAGTTCTAGCAGCTTACTTAGATCACGTCCTTCATTATTAAAATCCACATATTTTTTGAAAGTTATGACACCTTAGTGTTACAGCTCCGCCGATGAACTACTCACCCACCTCTTTTGGATTGGGCTTCATCACCTACGTACGAGTCCTTCTGACCCATGCCCACCATAACGCCTTGATGTCGTGGACGACCGACTATGGAAGGGAAGACTGCTCTGGGAGCATCGTCCCCAGCGAATCCCGCTTTGCACATTCCGGAGCCATTGTCCACTACAAGCGCTGCCACATCGTCGTCACACATTTCCGCCTGAATCGTCCACTGGTCATACGGTCATACGACACAGTTCAAATGGTCGACAACTGGTTGGATAGATTAACACAATTAAATGATAAAAGTACGATGAAACGACAAGACTTATAACATTAAATATGATGTTTACACTGAAACACGCGAATATTTGACACAGGCAGTAGCCTTGTGTTTCAACGAAAGAGAATCAAAAGCGATCGGTAAAGCTACTTTCTCTTACGACTTAGCGCAAATCCTCACGGCAAACACACAGACAGGTACAACCGGACTGTTTAGCATCGCCGTACGTCGGCCACGAACAACAGGAAGATGAGGGCGATGCCAGCAAAGGACCGCACAGCCTTATCAGCGACGAGTAGTCGTGGATCGAGGCTTTCGTCAGTACCTCGCTGACATAAATGACTACCAAATATGCAGATTTAAGTTCGCGTATCGAGTGAGTGGGAGGCACGCGGGCCGGACAGAGAGGTTCGGGAGCCGCTGCGACGAGATGCCGGCGACCGCGCAGCGAGCGATTGGCGTCCACTCGCCCCGCCCCGCCTCGCACGGCTAAATTCGGCTGGCGCGCGCATGCAACCGGCCCCCGATTGGTCGGATTCGAATCGGCCACTCGGCGGGAAATCGGAATGGGCGTGTCCGGACGAAGGGAGAGCGGCCGACGTCGCCGATGCCGGCAACCGGGTCGGTGGCCGTTCGGCTGACTCATCGGGTCTCCCACGGGTGTGGAAACACTTCGGACAGATCCACACCAATCACAAACGCGGCAATTGATTACTAACAGGGGTGAGCTAATGAGGTCATCGGTACTCCAGTGTACACTGCTGAAGACGGCTGACATCGATTCTGCCCGTCGAAAACTATCTCCATGGTTTCATTTCTTTCTACACCTCATTTTAAGGTGATTGTTTATTTACCCATTGGTGTGGGCGTCTAATTCTGTGTGGCCAGAGCATAGGACGACGTCTAATTTCCTTTCGTTAAGGACTTTATAGCTTTTAGACGGTATACAATATTTTCCAATAACTAGAGGGCTTGAAGGAGTGGGAACATGACGTAATACAGAGCAGCACCATGGTTGAACACACAACGACATTGCCGTCAGCACTTGGAAGTGTTTCCCAGCTAAGGTTGGTTTTTGATGTTTTTAACTCTGATGTTTTTAATACCCTCTCATTCCACGTGACGACCATGATTCATCGTAGCCGTTAGTCGGAATATCAACCAATTTCCGGTAAACATACTTGGTCAACGAGCTCATTCGATAAAGGTTCTTGCAGATTTTCAAGTTCAGAGTAAGGAATTCTTGACCCGTAGCAAAATAAACGGTCGAAAAGAAGGTAGATCGGTTATGATTCATCTCGGGCGAGGAGATTAATCACTAACGCAGGGGTCATATATGACTCATTTCGGCCCCAAGGTGTTGGTGTACTATTTTTGTCCTAAATACTTTATGTTGTTTGCTTAATATTTGTTTTCTTCTTCCGATCGTTAGTAAACTTTATGCCTTATATTAACCTCACTGGATTGAAATGAACTGGAATTTCAGTCTCACTTTAAACCAATCGTGCCAAGTGATTTATAGAGTACGACAGGTGTCCAGTTTACGTTCCCCATACTGTGCAGGTGAACCAACCATTAATTGTGAAGTACCTGAAGCTGAGCGAAGTTGATTCTTCCATTCCGAAGATAGGACCTTCGATTGTATGTGAATCTGGCGCATGACACTGCTTCACTGAGAAGCAGCTTCTCTGAATTCCAACAAGTGTGTTCCATTGTTTGAAGTTCTCGACTTTATTATGGAACCGAGAAATATCAAAAAATGTTTAAAGAAGCACTCCGGCGTTATCACGTCTTACAATGGGCGGTAATAGAATGATTATCATGTCCCATAGATTTCTCCTGTGGTGTTAAGTTGTTTCTTCGTCACCTTGTTTTAAGACCGTTAACCAATACAGAGTTTGCAAGATTTGGTAACAGATAAGGTCGAGTTTTTCCGATCAGAGCCAGCTTGAACACGATCGAAACGGGCCGATTTATGACACATTTCAAACTCTTAGTGCATCCTGGTAAGACTTCTAATTTATGTTGAGTGAGGAACGGCATTGTGTTTTCTGAATGGATTACTTCTTTGCGTTCCCTTTGCACATCTCTATAGAGAAATTCTTGATTCTCAGGATTATCACGGGACTTTGATGGAATGTTATGTGGTTGTCTCACCATCGATGAAAACTTGTCGTAAGAGTTCATCAAGCTTGTAGGATTTAGAGGTTTTGTAGTGCGAGAGTAGCTGACGTTTTGGCGGTATCGCCTTCTTCAGAATAGGTAGAGCTTTATAAACCGGTTTTCATTTAATTTCGGCATGAATGATGGATGGATTTTTTGTTCTCCTAAGAGGGCATGTGGCGGAGTGGTCGGAGGCGGCCTGCAACACACACGTGGAGTCGATCTCCGCGCCCATGGCCCACCAAGCTTTCCATCCTTCCGGTGTCTGAAAATTGGTAGCAGACGTGTCTGAGAGGATAGCAGCATTGGTTCGATACATCGATAGGCCAGCGCGAGTCATTGTATAGGCCAGATATGCACTCAATCACCTCCAAATGATGCTTAATGAAGTCGAATGCATGATGCATCCCTCAGGAATTCATCAACGCCGAGAGCTTTATCCTTTTTTATAATGATATTATACAAACTGGTTCACCAAGCGAGATTTATCCTTTCTTATTCTTTATTTTTTATTCTCATTGATAAGCTGTGACGAGGTTTTTTTTAAAAAGGTTTATTCATCTAACATTTCGGCTTCTTTGTCTTCTTCAGAGCTGGTACGATTCGAGTCGAGTGTCCACAACCGCTCGTACTCGCAATGAAGGTCTTTGCAGCCGTATCAACTGAGAATCTTCTGAAGTGGAACATCGGTCGAGTAAAGTAAATTACTCGGCACTGCGCTTTTAAAGAGGACCGTTGTCGACTGGTCGTCCATTGGTAATAATTTGCCTTTTCTCCCAGTCGATCTGTAGATCGATTCCGTAGTTGGTACTACGTTTAGTTGGTCCATAGTGAAGCAATAGTATTACAAAGTGACTTTCATTTAACTTCAACTCCGGTATCGCGACAACGACCGACCGTGCACAATCTTTAATAAGAGCTTTAAAATAACCTCGTACTTGCTTGCTGATGAGAATAAGAAGACCAATTGCTTGTGTGGCTAATTCGTGAACTAGTCTTGAAGGGATGGCTAAGCACAGACGAAAGATTCTTGTTACCAATCATGGAATTTGGAAAAATAAAGGGCTCGTCGGCAGTGTCTTCTTCTTCTCATCAACTGCGTTGCTGACATATTTTTAAGATCACTTGGGCGGCATAGAAGGAAAATTTGGTTTGGTTAAACCAGTGGAGACCGGAATGGAGGGACCAGAAAGGATTTCAAAAAATGTGGAGCATTTTCATCCACATACTTCTTTTTTGGAATCATCTCGGAGAGTTTCGGACAAAACTCTAGCAAGTTGACGATGACATTGTTATTATTGAAGAAATCGAATGCTTATTTCCTAGGAGATATGCTGTCGATGTCTAGCGTGAGGGGTTATATTACCCATGTTTTCATGTTTCATAAGATTGTGTTACACTTAAGGTTGATATTCAAGTTGTCGAAGGTCTTTGCACGAGAAGAGCTTCAGTTTCTCCAAGTCATTTTAATCGCTTATGTAAGAGAGTACGTTTGGCGTGGTTATCAAACACTGTGTTGTTAAGTGGCGATGATGTCATAAGCGAAGAGAAGGAATTTTTCTCATTAGTAAACGGTTCGGTAAGCAGCTACTCTTGCAGTGACTGATCGACACCTCGGATGACCTTTTATTTTGCTCAAGGGAAGTGACAAATTCCTGAGCATATTGTTTCCTGAAGTTGTTTCAAGTGAACAAATTACAATAATCGCATAACTGGAATACTTCCTAGGCAACACACTTAGCCCTATCTATGAAACTTAAGATAGGACTTGAGTACCATCTGCTGGATGCAACAACAAAAACATCCATTAATTAATTCGTTATAGATTTGAAACGAATGGTGGCAGGTTTGATAGATGAGACAAACGGTTCCGTAAAATCGTCGCATATATACAAGAGGTATTGACGCTAAGGTTTCTCGTTCAACCGGTCCTCCGTGGATCAGTATGTCCGCTGTTAGTTGTTTCTTCCTGACTCGTCATTGTGGTAGTTTGGATGGCGTTGCTCTTCACATAAACTTCTATAAATGTCTCAGTATGCGTCATGTCGTGACCTTCATATTAACAGTAAACACGTGGTTCTGAATCGCCCACATGGACAGATGACCAACCAGAACACTGTTGGCGCTATCAACATGCTTAGTCAGACCCCGAATTCTGTCAGTGTCACGAGCGTACAGCATCCTCAACTTCCGCACAAACATTAGAATCGGTGTTTAACTTGTGTTTGTTGAGAAGAATACTGTTTGGGATGAACTGGGATACGAATTCCGCAACGTACCATTATCAAGGCTGCAAAAACCTTTGACAGTTAAACAATAGGAATTGATCGCAATAAATCGTAGAGGAAGTGGATGGGACGTTGCATGTACTATCTCCAAATATCTTGAAATATCGCAGTCGTTATTTAAATCCCATCTACGGCTTACTGTCTAACTTTAGTGGAGGGGAGGGCTATAACCGGGTGTCCATTTTTGTCTCACAACCTAGGAATCTCCCCAAAAAGGATTTACCCAGTTACCTAGACCACTCCTTCGTGAAGATTGCACTGATTATCGTACGATATTTGCACTATCGAATATCGAGGCAAAGGACATGTGTTGAAAATCTTACCATATAGGAGACGATTCCGAATTCTGCTGCCATAAGATGAACAAAAGGGCGCGTGTGGCACAGCGGTTGGAGGCACCACTGCGATACACACGTGAAATCGATCTCCGGGCCCGTGGCTCTCTAAGCCTTCCATCCCTCCGGAGTCGGCAGATTAGTTCTAGACTTGTCTGGGAGGATAGCAGCACTGGCTCGATACATCGGTAGGCCACCGCGAGTCATTGTAAGGGCCAGATATGCATTCAATCACCTCCAAATGATGCTTAATGAAGTCGAATGCATGGCGCATCACTCAGGGATTGATCAACGCCGGGAGCTTTGGAGATTTTTAAGATGAACAACACCACATCCCCTCAGAATTGTCGAAGTCTCGAACGCTGTCAATATACGCGTGTAAATCTGCTAATTTCACGCTTAGGCAGTCAATATAATACAACATCTTAACTCTTTCATTTACTGCCTTTTTCTTCTTAATGGTAGGTTATGTTTCGAATTATAACTCGTATGAAATGCTGAGATATTGGCAAAACTCCGGACCGCAGGTGTCTGCGGTGGGGAACGAACGCGCTATTGTCCTTTCCGGGGAGTAACGCGTTCACCACCACACCATGCATGCCCTTCGTTTCGCCTCTCTCAGCTAGTTCCATCGATATTTTGCCGTCAGCAATCAACCGTCAGCGGGATTGGTGGTGAACGCGTTACTCCCCGGAAAGGACAGCAGCGCGTGTTCGTTCCCCACTGCATACACCTGTGGTCCGGAGTTTTGCAAATATCTGAGCATTTCATACGAGTTATAATACAATATGTTTCTGTAAGAAGACATGACTTCTTTTTCAATCTCTTTTTCACAGCTGTTGCCTAACAGATGCAAACCTTAAAATAGATTTCTAGCACATGGGATATCAGGAGAAAACGTGCACCTTGTCAGTGAGGGTCGTCT